CTAAAGTGGCTAGATGATTAAATTTGGTCTCCCCTCTGAACAAGCTGTGTGATGCATTATGGGAGTCATATGGCTCAGGTGCATCATGGGAGATGTAGTCTGGCCAGAGAGCCCAGCCCACACTAGAAAATGGGGGCAACAAGTAGCTGAACCACATCTCCTATGAGGCAATACAGCACCACTGGAAGAAGCAGTTTAATCATTTCAAGTCAATTCAACAAACCAGAGCTTGAATGTTTTCATTCAGAAATATAGAAAACTTAGCTGTGATCAAAAATGCTGAAACAAAAATGTTTCACCATTTCCAAATCGAAGAACACATGTTGAAATACCTGAATTTCCCATAGGACAGACATTCCAAGTTTTGTTCAGCTCAATTCAATATGTTTTGTGTGGACTATTTATAGAGATCCTAAGCAAACTATTTTAGAAGCCATTCTTGGAATTGGTGTCTGGGAAGCAGCTGCGATGTACTTTATCAAAAATATGTTAGTTTAGAAAAAAATTAAATAAATATAACAGTAAATGAGCATGCAGAACACAGCATTGGCATGGAAACCAGCAAGTGTTGTGTGCTCCTCTCTTCAAGTACTTTCTTTTCCTTGAGCTGCCAACTGAGATTTGAACATTACCATGATCAGAACATACAGATGTTCAGTTATCAGCAAGACCATGGCAGTGGTGGCTGAAAAATAATTGCTTAATGCTGCAATATGTATGATCTTGTCCCTATAAGGCATTATTGGAAGGGTCTGTGGAAAAGTACCCATGCGGAAGTGTATTGTTCGAGAATGCCACTGAAAACCCTCTATAATTCTGTTAAAGTGTATGGAAAACAGAGCAGCTTGCCACCCTGCGTGGGGCTATGCTGACTCTCCTGGCATATATGCTTGCATTAAATAAAAGCCTCAGGCAATTCTGATTCCTAAAACAACGAGTGGTTAATTTTCTGCCACACATCCAAAGTAAATATGCAGATAAAAGGCCCACGCAAAGCAAGAAGTGACTGAAGAGGAAGTAACTGACGGCCTTTATGTAAATAATGGTATCATAGCAGTTGGTGATTGAAAAGGCCTATTTGGTCACCGCATCCATCCCTTTGCAGAGGCAGGCTATAAGTCTATATGAAAGGGCTACTGAACTCAGCAGAAAGAGTGAAAAGTAGCTTGAAAATAATAATCCCCAAATACTAGTAGTTTGTTTTTTTTTTTAAAAAAAATCACAAGGGACTCCACATTTTCAAAATGAAAAGTTATGAGAAGGAGAAATGTGCTAGATCTCCATATCGAATCCACCTTCAGCCCATCTTTATTCTCCATGGTAGGACTGCCACTGGCCTAGGGACTATGGGCTAGATTTCTGAAGGTAGTTCAAGGAGTTAGACACCAAATTTAGCTCTCGGTAGGCCCACTGAAGTCATAAGATGAATTTGACACATCATGCTTCATGTCCCTGTTCGTTCAGCATTAGCACTTGGGAAAGCAGCTCTGTTCTCTAATTACCCTCCACATCATCTACTGCTGTAAACCAAAACTGATAGCTTTCCAGACCTTTAAAAATCGGGCCCCTAACCTTTGAAACAATCCAAATGTAGCCCTGCATGTTCCAGGGGGACTGGGGTGTCTAACTCTCTTCGGATCCTTTGAAAATCATAGCCTACATTTCTAAAGTACCTTCCATCCAGACATCTCAAAGGCTATTACACACAATAACACCACACAGAGCCCCTGTGAGTTAATGAGTATTACACCTAATGTGTTTTGATATAGTGAAGCTGGCATGGGAGGTTAAACGATTTGGCCAAGCTCACATAGATAGACATGCCTATGTCAGAGCGAGGGATAGAACCTGGACGTATCCAATCAAGCATTTCCTATCAGTGTGTCTTAATAGATTAACTCAAAGCTTTGGCAGATGATGGCAAGCAGGGCTGCACCCTGAAAGCTGCTAAGGAGATTTGGAAAGCGATACGTTTTTGTTTACAGCAACAGGCGAGGGGGAGGGTACGTAGAGAGGAGCGCTGCTTTCCCAAGTGCTAATGCTGGAATGAACAGACACATTCAACAGGATGTGTCAAATTCATGCGATGACTTCAATGGGCCTGCCCCAGAGCTCCCTTTGGCCCAGGATATTTTTCCTCTGGAGTGTTCTTCATTCACAAGAAAAAGCAGCCTGCTTGCTCCTGAAAAGAGTTGTGTTACTTTAAGAGACTAACCAGAGATGGGAGAAACTCATGATGTTTTGGGTTTCCTGAAATGTTTAGATATATAAAAATAAATAAATAAATAAATAAAGCCCAAACTTCCCCCCTGTACTGTAACCTTCCTTTCCATTTCTCCCTTACCAGGGAAATTGATTTTAAAAACCAGGCAACGAGCCCTGTTTGGATCAGGCCCTCGCATAGGCACTCAGATACAATGCTGATGCAGGGCCATATAAACATCTAACTAGTTAGCCAGATGGATTGAAAACCTCTTCAAAGCAGGTATTACCTGCATCTCCAGAGAAACATTTCATTTCTATTCCCCTGTCCCGCAAGTCCTGAGACACACCCCAGTCTACGTGCACATCGATGAGCCTGTGACAGCCTTGGCTAACAGAGCCGGGTCTTTTCGCTCAGGTAGTCAAGGCTTGTAGCACACGAGGTCCTGGGTCAATCCAACCTCCATACAACCCACTACTGCTGCCCCGCCGAGGAGCGCGGAGTCAGTTACTTCTCCTGGAGATTTTGAGACGACAGTAAAGAACGGTCCTGTGCATAAACAAGGTCTCTCTCTCGTTCAGTTCTCTTTGGTATGAAAAGAGTAGCCTTAGATCCGTGTTACTGCACTGCGAACATTTAATCAAAGACACTTTATGGCGCCTGTCTCACATTGCAGTGCTTATTTATCTATTCACTGCAGATACCATCCCCCAAGCAGCACTTAGAATCATAGAATATCAGGGTTGGAAGGGATCTCAGGAGGTCATCTAGTCCAACTCCCTGCTCAAAGCAGGACCAATCCCCAATTTTTGGCCCCAGATCCCTAAATGCCCCCCTCAAGGATTGAACTCACAACTCTGGGTTTAGCAGGCCAATACTCAAACCGCTGAGCTATCCCTCCCCCACTTGTTACAGGGAAGCCTCCATTTACAGTGTCTTATGCCAGAATCACCACTTAGTATCAAGGATGAAATGTCAGTGGTGAACCATCATGCCACACCATTAATAGATTTTTAAGGCCAGAAGGGACCACTGTGGTCACCTAGTCTGAACTCCTGCATAATAGAGGTCAGGGAACCTCACCCAGTAATTTCTGCATCCAGCCCATAACGTCTGGTTGAGCTATAGTACAGCTAATAGAAAGATAGAGTCTGCAAGTGCTGGAGAAGCCACATCATCACTAGATAAGCTGTTCCAAAGATGAATGACCTTCACTGTTGGGTTCTGAGTTGAATCCAGAACTAGAAAGACAAGGAAGGGGGGAGCTGTTTACGCTTGGATCAGCTGTGGAGAACACGAGTTTCAGCCTGGTAAATATCCTTTTTTCTCCTTCATGAATTTCCTTTTCAGAGCCCCCACCACCTGTCAATTTCACCAGCGTTAACTTCATTTCCCCCATTTCAGAAAAGTTAAAAATATTGAAATACAAAATGAAGTTAACCTCAGATCTCTTTACAGACCAAACAGAGAACACACTTCACTGTGAAAGCAAAAGGAATCAGACAACGGATCTTAACTGCAGTGACTGTTTATAGAGGGGATGGTATAAGACTGCCTACAATGGCACTTGTCCCATCCGTGACTGCTACTAGAAAATATCTCCAGTGGCCAGATATGGGACACCAGCTGGGGAGAACTCTGTGTTACTACAGAGAATTCTTTCCCAGTTGTCTGGCTGGTGGGTCTTGTCCACATGCTCAGGGCTAACTGATCGCCATATTTGGGGTCAGGAAGGAATTTTCCTCCAGGTCAGGTTGACTGAGACTCTGGGGGCATGGGGGATTTCACCTTCCTCTGCAGCATGTAGAATGAGTCACTTGATGGAATGAACTAGAATAAATGATGAATTCTCTGTACCTTGAAGTCTTTAAATGATTAATTGAGGACGTCAGTAACACAGACACCGGTTATGGGCCTATTACAAGAGTAGGTGGGTGAGATTTTGTGGCTTGCGATGTGCAGGAGGTCAGACTAGATAATCATGATGGATCCTTCTGGCTTTAAAGTCTATGAGTCTAATGCAAGACTATGAGAACGCAATACCAGTGTAAGAAGTTCAACCTGAGGATGACTGTTGAAGAGACCCAGTGCAGTAAGTAACCTCCTGCCATTTCTCTTCTGAGGCTTGTGGTCAATCCCTAGTTCTGGACATGGATAAATTCTGCTCAGTTACACTGGTTTAAATCGGGAGTAACATCATTGACAGGAGCAGATTTACATGAAGGGACTCAGTGGAATTTGCCTTAATCTCTGCAAATTCATAGATCCTTCTTGAACGGATAATAATGGCCAGTGTATTGATATATGAAATAAGCTAACAGGAGGACAGGAGATTCACCTCTCTCTGGAGTATGGAGAGGACCAAATATCCAATTATCTCTTATTTTAATTTATAGTGAGGCTTTTCTGTGGTGCTCCCCACCATACCATGTTTAGCTTGCAATTAAGCACTTCACATGATTTGCTTTGCCCTCACAACACCCCTGGAAGTAGGGATGTATTATTATCCCCATTTCAGAGTCGGGAAATGGAGGAGTTAAGTCACTTGCCTCAGGTTGTACAGGAGTCAGTGGCAGAGCTTTACCTCCTGATGAGTTCACCAGTGGTGCTCAACACAATCAACTTCCTGTAACTACTGGTGGCCCTGGATTATTGCTGGACATAGGTCCTTCCTGTCTTTTTCTTTGTGTCTCATGTGATAAAACAGAGCAATGGGGATAGTAAAATAGCAGAATCCTCTCCCTCTGAGAAGCCTGATGAAAAGATGCAAGGAACAGAAGAGTCCCATATACCTTACCCCAGCCTATCAAGGTGAAACCCCACAGGTATTTGGTATCCGAAAAGAAAGCCACGAAGATTAGGCTGTGCAGGTAGAGGCCTTCAACCAGGATCCAGTAGTAGTTGGTGGCTAAGAAGTAAATAAACATCAAAACCGCAATCTTGCACCCCACCTGTCAAGGAACCCAAACAGAAAGATAATGGGTTACCATTCCTGGATACAGCAACCATCCAAGAACTGCATCTGTAATTTTCACTCCATGCATCTGAAGAAGTGGGGTTTTTTACCCATGAAAGCTTATGTCCAAATAAATCTGTTCGTCTTTAATGTGCCACCAGACTCCTCGTTGTTTTTGTGAATACAGACTAACATGGCTACCCCCAAAACTTGACATTATGCTACTAAACCCATTGCACATGGCTCCTATTCTGACAACTTTAACATGTCTTATTTACAGAGATAGGAACAGGTAGCAAGGCCATCCTTAGCACAGTGTCAAGTCTTTGTGTAAAATCAACAGTTCTCCTTGCTTTGTAAGGACCATTTGTGGATGAATTAGTGCTTGTGAAAGTGGAGAACTAACAGCTTTTCTTTGAGACAGCTAGAGAGAGGGCGAGTGCTGTAAAAGCTTCCCACACCCCCGCTGCTCTGCTAAGGCAGCTTCATTGTGACCTGCTAATGCAGTCCTGCATCTGACTCGAGCAGAAAATGACAAGTGGGTCAGATTTTGCAAGGAGGACAGCCAGGGTGACCTGAACAAATAAGCAAAAGTGAGTCAGTCTCATCCCCATTAACAAAGAGAAAGATTCACAATAGAAACAAGTAGACAAGTATTGAAATCTGGGGAACAATTTTCAAAGGTGCTTAAGTCAGAGGTTCTCAACCAGGTGTACGTAAACCCCTGGGGGTAGGCAGGTCTCCCAGGGAGTACATTAACTCATCTAGATATTTGCCTAGTTTTACAACAGGCTACATAAAAAGCATTAGCAAAGTCAGTACAATGTAAAATTTCATGGAGACAGTGACTTGTTTAATACTGCTCTACATACTATACACTGAAATGTAAGTACAATATTTATATTCCAATTCATTTGTTTTATAATTAGATGGTAAAAATGAGAAAGTGTGCTGTGACACTTCTGTATTTTTAGGTCTGATTTTGTAAGTTTTTAAGTGAGGTAAAACTTGGGGACATGCAAAACAAATCAGAGTCCTGAAAGGGGTACAGAAGTCTGGAAAGGTTGAGAGCCACTGGCTTGAGTGACTTAGGAATCCAAGTCCCATATTTAAAAGTGTCAAGCACTTAAGTGAGGATCTTAAAGGTATTTAGGCACCTAAAGATGAAGATAGGGGCCTAGTGGGATTTTCAGACATGCCTAGGCACCTAATTCCCATTGGCGCCTATGCACTTCTGAAAATCCCACCAGGCATCTATCTTCACCTTTCAGCCCCTAAATACCTTTAAAAATCTGGCCCTAGGAGCCAGAGCCTCACAGGCCCCCAACTTCCATTGACATCAATACCTTTGAGGATCTGGGCCTCAGGAGCTTAAGTTACTTTAAGAAAATGAGACTTTGGCCCATTGCATACTGAATTTTCAAGAGCCTGATCCTCAGGATCAGCCTGATATTTTATACTGATTCACCACAGTAATACCTCACCCCTCTGGAAGGAATACAGATTGTCCTAAAAGGGGCATAACAACTCAGAGAACAGTTAACTAGCAGGCTGACTGTTTTCCCAGAGGGTCAGTGCTTACGTATTGTGACTTGTCAATTGCAGGTGCCACTACAGTGCTCTGGAGGTCACTCATCAGCAGCGAGTCCAGCTCTTTGACTCCTCTGTGCGTATGCACAACTTTGTCCTTGATAAAGATGCTGGCAGCTCTTAGCATGAAAGAGACAAAGAGATGCATGTGGATGCAATTCCTGGTGCAGTGCAGCCTCCTGTGGGACGAAAAGGATAATTTAGGTTTCAGAGGAACAGCCGTGTTAGTCTGTATTCGCAAAAAGAAAAGGAGGACTTGTGGCACCTTAGAGACCAACCAAATAAATTGGTTAGTCTCTAAGGTGCCACAAGTACTCCTTTTCTTTAAGGATAATTTAGAAGAGGTTATTGAATTCAGCCAGCAAAAGGGCAAAATTTTGCAGTAGGCTCTGGGATAATCTATGGCCAAGCTCAGCAAGTTCAATACTTCCACATCCCTCGACTTAGGGTACGTCTACACTACCCGCCGCATCGGCGGGTAGTGATCGATCTATAGGGGATCGATTTATCACATCTAGTGTAGACGTGATAAATCGATCCCTGATCACTCTGCCGTCGACTCCTGTACTCCACCGCAGCGAGAGGCAGAAGCGGAGTCGACGGGGGAGCAGCGGCAGTCGACCCCTCGCCGTGAGGACACGAGGACACTTTAGCTACACTATTCTCGTAGCTGAAGTTGCGTATCTCAGGTCGACCCCCCCACTAGTGTAGACCAGGCCTTAGTCACTATTTCATACTTTAAGGACTCTTATATTTTTCTTAGGAAGGTCAAAAATACAAAATAAAAGGGCATGATTACTTAGTGATGACAGTTACCGACAATATTTTTGCTGAACTTTCCTATCGTAAGATAAGGCTTAAAATGCAACACCTCACATGAGCAAATATTTACAAGTCTCAACTGTTGACAGTCTGCAGCTTGTTGTTAGTAAACTGAATATAAAGCTTGCCAGATGCCACCCTGACAGCAATAGAAACTAATTGGGCTGAATCGTACAACCACTTACTCAAACATTGTGCACTGTACAGTGAATAATGCTACTGAAGGGGGAAGTTCATGGTATTATGCACTATGCTTGGTAATAAGAGTTTGCAGTACAGCATCCTTAAATTACATAGGCTCCAACTCAGGAAAGCATCTCTATTCAGGACAGCCCTCCAGCAAATGCTTAACATCAAGCATGTGCTTAAGTCCCGTTTGTGATGCTGGCAGACCAGGTGCCAGCTCATGCCAGAGCCCCAGGCCTATTCATTGTCTATTTGTGTGGATCAAAGTGATTATTAAATGTATAAGAGTGTATTTGGTGTTTAAACGTCATGAAAACTAGTGGGATGTTACTTGCATTGTTTTCACTTATCTGTATCCTGCTATAATGCAGTAGCAAACATTTCCATTTTGTGTACCCCCGTAACTAAATAACCCACCAAACAAGCCCTAAAACGCAAAGGAGGCTTTGTGGAATGCAAATGAGGAACTTGAACAGAAAAGTGCTAATTTCAAAGCAAGTGGTCATTATGTATGATGACCGGAGGTCAAAGACTCTAAATACCTTCCTCACTCATCAAAGGAAAAACCCACCTGGGTAGTGACATTGTCAGCTTGTTTTCTGTGAGAAGAAGCTATAAGTATGGATTCAGAGAAAGATCCTTCATCTCTGGACTGTTTGGACTCTTACAGGGAGGTGTACCAGATACAAAGCCGAGGTGCCCAAAGACAATCTGGGTACCCTGAGAAGACTTTTGGGAAACCGGCAGTTTATGACATCACTGCCACTATTTGGAATTACAAACTGTGATTCATTTGTGCATATATTTTATCTGCTTTAACCTCTCAATAACTCTCATTTCCTTTTCTTAGCTAATAAGCATTTAGTTAGTTTACTATAGAATTGGCTACCAGCGTTGTCTTTGGTGTAAGATCTAGAGTAAAATTGATCTAGGGTAACTGATTGGTCTCTTGAGACTGGGAGCAACCAGATGTGACGTGATTTTCGGTTTAAGTGACCATTATCACAAAGCCCAGTTTGTCTGGGTGGCAAGATAGATTGGAGAGTCTAAGCCCTGGTCTGCACTGGGGTGGGGGGTGGGGGGAATCTATCTAAGTTACGCAACTTCAGCTACGTGAATAATGTAGCTGAAGTCGACATACTTAGACCTACTCAACGAGGTGTCTTCACTATGGTGAGTCGACTGCTGCTGCTCCCCTGTTGACTCGCCTGCACCTCTCGCGGCGGTGGAGTACAGGAGTCGACGGGAGAGTGCTCGGGGGTCAATTTATCATGTCTAGACTAGATGCGATAAATCGACCCCCGCTGGATTGATCACTGCCCGCCGATCTGGCAGGTAGCGTAGACAGACCCTAAGGGGACTGTCTGTGACTCCATGGTAGGACTGGTATAGTAATCCAGGAGTTCACATTTGTTACTGGGTTGGTGAAATCTAATTATAGAACCCACTACCAGTTTGGGGTGTCTACCCTGTTTTCTGACAGTCTGCCTTGAGGTTGGCACTCAGAGCTGTGAGCCACTCCAGACAGTATGACACCATTGACTGCATAGATTCACATATTTTAAGGCCAGAAGACTACCAGTGATGGAAAAATCCACAATGTCCCTAGGTAAGTTGTTTCAGCGGTTAATTGACCTTAATGTAAAAATACACATCGTGTTTCTAGTCTGAAGCTGTCTAGCTTCAGTTTCCAGTCCGTGGGTCCTGTTAAGCCTTTGTCTGATAGATCAAAGAACTGTCTACCATCAGAATTCTTTCCCCCTTGTAGACCATGATCAAGTCACCTTTTAACCCGCTCTTTAATAAACAAAACAGATGGAGTCTCTTTACTCTCTCACTATAAGGCACATTCTCCAGACCCTGTAGTTCTTTTCTGAACCCTTTCTGATTTTTCAGCATCCTTTTTGAAGTATGGACACCTGAACCAGACAGTAATAGTCTCATTAATGCTATATACAAAGATAATACCACCTCCCCATTCTGACCTGATATTTCCCTGCTTATGTGGATCACATTTACTCAGCATCTACCAACTCACACTCGGAGCTCACACTCAGTTGGTTATCTACCATTTCCTTTACAGAGTGACTGCGTTCTTATTGACTTAAGTAGGCCTTAAGCACATGAATGTGCCTAAGAGCTCTCCTGAACGGAAATGGCCTGAAGCACATAAGTATTTTTCTGAATCTGATTCTAGCAGACATCAAACTTCTTGCTGCTTGCAATAGCTTCTTCTACCCACACCCTTGCAACTAAAACTATATAAACATTTCTTCCAAGATTAAACCTTGTTCACATGCTATGGAAAAGAAGTTGGAAGAATGTGTGTAACTGCCCCACCTGGAGATGCCTGCCCTAATGCATAATATTAACTAGTTAGCAATCACTCAAACTCCCTAAGGTCCTTTCCCAGAATGCACTGGGTTTTATGCTGATGACTCAGTAAGGCAGGCAATCATTATTATCTATTTTTAAAGCCATAATAAAAACTCAGACAAAATTGCCAGAAACACCAACAAGTGCAAATGCTGACAATGAAAAAACTGCATAGTCTTACTGCGGTAATCCTCATCCTCCTCGCTCCTTTCCCTTCCTACTGTTTGCCCCCATCGTTTTTGTCTGTCACAGGTCAGGTTTGCATTGGGACTGTGACCATGCATCCCTAGGAGGCATGGCCCAGAACTTGCAGCCCAGGAGGGTGCGGTGTCAAGGGACTGTCTACATTACAGCAGCCTCCCTAGGCCGACCTATGGGTCACAGCACTGCTCTTAATGGCTGCAATGCTACTTGCATTCCCTGGCATTCCTCTCCCACACCTAGCATGCGCCCTACACCAAGATTCGTGAGGAGGTTCTCCACTCTATGGCTGTCTTCTGCAGTGCCTGTACCAGAAGAAATCTTCCAGAGCCAAAAACAGGGCTTTCAGAGCTCCTCTGCAGCCTTTTTACACAGCATAAAGGGGCCAGAGCAGAAGCGAGGATCTCACTGTTTTTCCATGTCTTCCATGAAATGCCTAACACGCTGCTGGAGACCTTAATATGAGGAATAGTCATGGAAAACTTGGCATGCAGTCTTTAGAGTTTGTTTCTTCTTTGGTTATTTCAAAAGAGAGCATTAGAGTGAGCATTCAACTCCTAAAGTGTTGGCAACTGACCACAGCAATATTCCTAGCAATAACTCAAGCGGATAATTCCACATGCCAGCAATCCTATTGTTTCAGTTGTGAAATAAGCCATTAAGCCTCAAAAACAGACTATAGGATAATCCACTCTGATCTTTCTGTGCCTCACTGTGCTGTCATCTTTAACTGTTCTGGAGACTGATACAATGTCTCTTGCTGCTTGCAATTTTTACATGGCCATGGGAAATTATTTTCCCTTGAAATGTTTTAACGTGTTCTTCATCTGATCAAAGCTTTACACAATGGGTAGCCATTGAAAATTACTCCATGCAATGCACAATATTTACTGTCAGCACTGCAGACAGGAATATAAAAAAGCATCAAGAGATTGGACAGTCCTGTGTGAATAAGGAATATAAGATTATCTCTTGTAGAGATGATGGTGCAAAAAGGGGACAGAGCAGCTGGAACTATGAATTGCTCACCTGAAGTAGCCGATGATGAAAACAGCCACTGCCAGGGAACTGAAGGACATAGAATATCCAACAGTATACATAATGTAGAGACGTTCAAAGAATTCCCTCTGGAAAAGAAAACAAGACCATTTCCACTTTATTTTCTTCATCTGTGTGTACAAAGTCTCCAATAATCCAGTTTACCAGTTTCTGACATCAGTGGATTTACACCAGGGATGAACCTGTTGTACTGCCATCCCAAAGAATTCAAGATTCATCAGTCTACACTGGAAAAAAATAAATCACAAGAGTACTAAAAGGAAGAACTTGGGTTCATATATTTGCCTTCTGGTGTTGTACTCCTTAGGGGGTCACTTTTAAAACTTTATTCCACAACCATGGAAACTAACATTTATTTTTATAAAGAAAGATGAGATCATGTAACATGATTCTTGGAGCTGCAGATTTGAAGAAACACACTAACCATCATTCAAAAGCACAAGAGCAGGCAATATTGGCAATATTGGCATTTTGTCTGTTGTCAGTTCCCGCCACTAGCTTTGGTGGGAGGGAGGGAATAATTGGGCACACTTCTCTTGCCCTGGTATCTGCTCAGCTCCATTGACTTCTACATTGGAGGGGGTGGAGCCAAGGCTCTGATTCCTCCTCCTCCCTCTCAGCTCAGCTGCTGATGGCGTTTTAGAATATGTTTGCCCATTGCCCTGAAGAGGGCTGCTGTGTGACAGCTTGCTGAGAGTCTAGCATGAATACATCACACAGCTCAATATTAAAAGGAAGAAAGACGTAGCCTATTTAGACCCGGATCCAAGCACACAGCCCTGGGACATGAATTTTGGATCCAAGAATCTGGAGTTAGTCCACCCCTGCCTAAAGCAGATACCATGCCGACTGATGACAATGGAAATTGCAGCTCTTCTGCTATGGATGAATTTAGCCCTCACAACCACATTAAACACAGCGAGGCACACTTGAGAGGGGAAAGTGCCTTCAGTTCATAGCTTCAATGTCTGCAGTTCCTTGACGTCTATGTTGTTTTAAATAAGACTCTTCCTCATTTTATGACTTAAAAACCATTGTGTAAATAATAAACGCTCAATGGGACTGATGCACCATTATTAAGTTAGGACAACAATGTGCATGTCATTCATATTTCCATTTGTTTCTGTATAGAACCATCAAGGAATGAAAAGTGCGTACAATTTCAGGATTTGTTCCTCCCATCCAAACTCTCATGCTCTATGATTGCATTGGGAAAACACCCCCATACCTTCCCCGGGCTGATTTCTGGCTGTAAGTAGCGAAGGCAGTCAGAGTAATTGGCCCACGTTCGGTTCAAACCCTGCACAAGGTCCCATGTTCCATTAGGGCTACAGTGTCTGAAAGCCACCCCTGCATGGAGGAAATAAGTCTTGGTTAGTCTACGCAGGTCCTTTGCACCACCTGGCTTTTTATTTGCTTCAGATAAATCCGATGAGAACAAGAAGACCAGTGGTACCTTTGTGATTGAAGTCATATATATAAGGAGGGCATGGGACAGCCATCTTTTTTCCCAGTGAGCCCCTGGGCCAGCATATTAGTCCATCCCATTCTGGAAAGCAGTTACCCTCTGCACACAATAGAAGGAAGACATAGAAAGAAGAAATGAAAAGTGTGAGACAAGCCTCTATGCCACTTATGTTTTTACCGTATCGCCTAAATACCTGTGCCCAAATTAAGTAACAGAGATTTAAAAGTATCTTGCAATTTAGGTACCTAAGGATTAAAGTGTTAAATTTCTTCCCAAATAACACAATTGAAAATGAACTAGTGACATCTAGCTTATACCCCCAAAACAATATCAGTTTCTTTAAAAAAATAAAATCAACCTCTAAATATTTTTAAAACCCAATTCTTAGACTCTCTGGAGATGCAGCCAGTTCCGCACTTCCATAGAACTCTTCATCTCTGACTCTCAACCCACTTAATTTACACCATCCACCTACCTTAACTCTGCCCTCCAACATTTGCAAAATATGTCAAATTTATTGGAAATTCATGGTCCCCCATGAATAAGAAATAGGAGATCGTATACTGCTAGGAAATTGTTATTTTGACTGTTGCACACATTTTTGCTGATTCTAGGAGCTGTGGTAGGATAGGTATATCAAGGTATGTCTGTGAACCTCCTAAATTGTCTAATTTCTGACTGCTCAAATTAAGACTGATTCCAAAGCGGAGTCCTGCTGCCAGGACAATTATCGGTGTAATAAAGTGAGGTCTATGTGGTGAAGCTACACTGGAGTCTGTCACCATTTGACTCCACAATAATGCAATGTGCAAATCTCCTAGCGGAAGCAGTGATAACTTACTCCTTGTGCTTGCTTGCCCCACAGAGAGGGATATAGGACACAAGTACCAAGGGGACAGAGAAGAAGGATGGTCCAGTGGTTATACTGCTAGCCTAGAACTTGGGAGACCTGGTTGCAAATTCCCTGCTCTGCCACAGACTTCCCATGTGACCGTGGTCAAGTCTCTCTGTGCCTCAATTACCCCATCTGTGGAAATGGAGATAATAGCACTTCCACGCCTCACAGGGCTGTTGTGAGGGACTAATACATTAAAGATTGCGAGGTGCTAAGATACTATGATAATGGGGCTATATAAGTACCTAAGTTAGACAAATGGTAGCCACACAACTCCTATGGCCTATGCTGACTTGCACGCACCATGCAGGGTTCCTGCATCTATTTAGTTGACAGCTGATTTCCTGATGGACTTGGCCCCACCTGGTCCCCATATTGGTGCTACAGATTCTTCCCCTACATTGGAAGGATGAAGAGGAAACTCTGGGTTTTTCAACAGGAGGAAGGATAACTGGCCCCTGGGCTTCCTATGAGAACAAACTACATGGGAAAATATATGTGCAGTATATCCATGCCATTTAGTCTACGCAGAGAATCATAGAAAAGTAGGTCTGGAAAGGACCTTGAAAAGGCATCTAATCCATCCCCCCACCTTTCATCTTCAGATTCACAACCAATTCCTCACTGCTAGCCAGAATCAAGTCTAAAATAAATGGCTGCCCTTCGGCTTCTGAAACAAGAAGTTGTCCCCATCACATTCCAAGAATTCACTAGAGATTTTGTGCTTTGCCATATCACTTTTCTAACAGCTGTCTGGGTAGTTGAAGTCCAGCATTACTACCAGGGGAACATGACGATTTTGTGGAAGACAGACTGCTATGGTATATACCAAAATCCAATTCAAAGTTATTGATGGTGTTGATGGAGCAAGTTGCAGATGGCCAAGCACTGCTTGTGGGCCTAAGAAAGGAGCACGGATGGGTGGGATTGCACTATAATGTAGGTTTGGGATGACAAGCAGTGGCCACAGAACTCTTTGATCAGAAAGGCCACATTTCTGGATCTGCATGCAGAGCTCACCCCAGCCCTCCAGTGCAGGGACACGAGAATTAGAGCTACATTGACAGCGGGGAAGCAAGTGATGATCACACTGTGCAAACTTGCAATGTTGGATTGCTACTGGTCAGCGGGAAATAGTTTGGAGTTGGAAAATCCACGATGGGGGCCATTGTCATGGAAATGTGCAGGGCCATTAATCATCTCCTCCAACACAGGACTGTCACTCTCGGCAACGCACAAGACTTAGTGAATGGATACGTAGCCAGGGCGCTCCCGAACATGAGTGGAGCAGTAGGTGGCCTGCATATTCTTATTTTGACCACCTAATCCCAGAGTAAAACAGAATGGGCTACTTTTCTATGGTTTTACGAGCATTGGTGGATCACCAGGGATGCTTCATCGACAGTCTTGGGCTGGTCAGGGAAGGTGCATGACGCTCGTATCTTTAAGAACACAGTACTATTCAGAAAGCTGCAAGCCGGGGGACATTCTTTCCCATCCAGAAGGTTACCATTTGGAGAATGCTGAAATGCCAATATAGTCCTGGGGGACCCAGCTATCCCCTTGTTCGTGAAGCCGTACACTGAGCACCTCAATAGCACTAAGGAAAGATTCAGCCACCGGCTCAACAGGTGCAGAAGGACAGCTGAACGTGCTTTTGGTTGATTGAAGAAACCATGGGGATTGTTTACTCACAAGATTGGATCTCCAAGCGAAATATCTCAACAGTTATAACTGCCTGCTGTGCCCTGCATAATATCTGTGAGGCAAAGGGGGAAAAGTCACCACCAGTGTGGAGGGCTGAGGTGGCACATTTGTTGAATTTGAGCAGCCGGACACAAGGGCTATTAGAAGAGCTCAACGTGGAGGTTTTCTGTTAAGGGAGGCCTTGAAAGAGCATTTAACCATGAGCCACAGTAATGCACTGAAGTGGCCCTACCGTTTTGGGGCCTGTTGGGAATTGCGTGGTGTACATTTATGAATATAGCACTGTTTGTCACTGATCCTAGGAGTTCTGTCACTCTGTACAACACGCATGTAAGTGCTTTCAGTTCCACTAGGCACTCTGCAGAATAGGTTGTCAAGGAAAGAAGATGAATTATTTTCCAAAAAATAGGAGTTTATTGAGTAACAAAAACAGTGCAAGAAAAATTGGTGCAATTTAAAAGCAAATACGTTTTAAAAGAACTAAATAAATGAATGGAACAGAACTTAACAAGGGGAAAGAACACGCATGTCCATTTTTACCTACACACAGCAACCGTGGCTCTCCCAGGTCAGTGTATGTGAAGCAGGAGTTGTCCTTACTGTCCCTCAGTGTGAAGTAGTAGGGGTAGGGATGCAGCCCGGGGGGCCATGTGGACTGTTGAGCGGGGTGTAGGGAGGTACTAAAATGGAGTTCTCCATGGAAGGCAAAGGGAGCTTAGCCTGTGCTTGTTGAACCGGTCATTCCACTTGAGTCTGCAGCATCTGTGTTTGGTGCCACAGAAGCCCCTGTGTGTCCTGGTGCATCTCCTTCTCCCTCTCCTTTTCAGTCTTTCTTTTTCCATACAGCCTGCAATATTCACCCTCCAGGCCCTCTGCTCATGGTCTGATGCAGCACTGGCTTGCAGGATCTCATTGAGCATGTCGCCCCAAGTCCTCCTCTTTCTCCTCATCTGGCTCAGGCATTCCGCGGGTGTGGAGAGGGAAGCCCTGAAGGCTGCAACACCAGCAGCTACAGACAGAACACAGGTACCTTTTGCACTGTAGCCATAACAGAAAGTGAAAGGGTCAGAACTCCCTTTGCTTGCTCCCCTAAAGTTTTACACAAGACATACTTATTGACACTTCTACTTGGGATTGCTTGCACACAGCACCAGCCATGGGGAGTGTGGCCCACCAGGGGCGGGAAATGAGGAAGGAATTGTTCAGTTGCACGAAACTATGATGATCAGGCACTGAATACCCGTACCAGTTTCCACAGGCCATGGTGATTTTAGTGGATATCTCACTCCTGACGGTAACAAAGGCACAGAGAGCACAGCTGCTGCTGGCATCCTGAAGCCGCCCAGGCCTATATGCCGCTAGCCTGTGTACTGCAGTGGTGCCTGACGAAGTCATCACAGATTGGCGTGGGAAAGTGTCCTGCCATAGAGGAAGAAATAAGGCTGCCATCCCTAGAAACCTTTGGGAGAGGATTGCAAAGAACCTCCATGAAAGTTTCATCAAGATCTCTCAGGAGAATTCAAAGAACATAAGAATGGCCCTACTGGGTCAGACCAAAGGTCCATCTAGCCCAGTATCCTGTCTTCTGACAGTGGCCAGTGTGCCCCAGAGGGAATGAACAATACAGGTAATCATCAGGTGATCCATCCTCTGTCACTCACTCCCAGAAACAGAAACACAAAGGATGCCCCTCTGTACATAAACTGCTCTGCATGGCCTCCCCTGCCTAACTCTACAGGGGACTGAAAAGCAGATAACTGTCTCTGCTTGTTGTACTGCTACCTCTTCTAGTACGAATAAATTAATGAAAAAGTTGAGAGCTACATCCTGCTAAGCTGGGAGCACCATCAGTACATCACTGGAATGGGAAATACGTTTACACGCCTACCCAAGGTTCTTTCCCCTGCATCAAGCTCGCCTGTGCTCGACCCCTGGGGCTGACTGGACTGCTGTGAAGTCTTCAACAGGTTCTGGCTTGCAGCATAGCTGGGCCCGCCGTCGCATGTCTCCCTCCTCTCCCCATCCTCCTCCTCCTCACTGTTCATGTCAGGGGCCTGTGACTCAGCTCCTTGAAGACATCCACAATGCCGTGCGGGGTGTAAGTGGGGTCTCCACCAAGCATGGGATGCAGTTCTTTGCAAAAGGGGCAGGTCTGTAGCTCAGCACTGTATTGACTCTTGGCTTCCCTGACCTTCTGATATGCCTGCTGCAGCTCCTTGGCTTTCATTCGGCACTGCTGCTGGTCCCTGTCATACCCCTTCTCCTGCATCCCCCGTGCAATCTCCCCATAGATGTTCACATTTCTGTGGCTGGTCCATGTACATCTGGAGCGTGTAGTCAGCACAGTCAGCTGAGCAGTTGTACATAACAATCGAGAGCTGCGACGTGTGCTCATCAAGCTGGGCAATAAGGAAAAGGCATTTCAAAAATTCACAAGGCTTTAAGGTGGGAGGAAGAGAGGCTTCCAGTGTCCGTGACCCCCTGGGTAGTGGAGTTCACATTTGTGACCAGAGCGGTCAGTGTCGGGCATTGTGAGACAGCTGCAGGAGGACTGTTAGGGTTGACATAGGTAATACAGTGTCTACATGCACGTCACGTTGACCTCAGTACATCAACCGTGGCTCAATGCCGTTCGGGGAGGCGGTGTCACTGTGTCACCACAACAGGGTACTTACGTTGGTGGGAGACAAATTAAAGTATAGACACATGCACAACTAGGTTGATGCAAGGCAGCTTATGTCAACCTAACTTTGTAGTATAGACTGGGTCTCAAACTCTCCACATCACTTAGCCTGCCTCTTTTATTCACACAGTGGGAAATACAGGTCATTCATCAGTGCAGAACAGAGACCCAGCAACCTTTCTGGAAATATAATTGAAATTATTCTATTAAAGAAATAGCAACCAACTCAGTTACCCTTTACTCACTGGCTCAATACATCTCGTCTCAGAACAAGTATACCCAATTATATTTGGCTGCTTAAAAGGGGTTGGCTTTTGAACAAACGTAAAATCTGATTAACTTTTGATCCAGTAATTTTTGTGTGGTTAAAGATTGTTCCAGTTTGTTTCATCCATTAAGAATTACACTTGTCAGGGACTTCACTACTAAGAATAAGTATAAAAGGCTCGTATATTATTTCAGGTCCACTACAGGAAGTCACTACCACCAAAAAAGCAGATCAAAGGAAAACCTGAACTTCGGGGCTTCTTAAATATTTATTTTTAACTCATTCTGTAAAGCTTCAGGGCCAGATACTGATCTCAGTTACACTGGCGTAAATTTGGAAAAACACCACTTCCTAAGAACGGGATTATTTCAAATGCACAGCATTGTAAAGAAAGCACCCTTATTCAGGAAGCACTTACACACATGTTTTTGTACAGCATGGTCTTAAAGTTAAGGATGTACCTAAATCCTATCTGGAATACAGATTGATTTACACACGTTTAAGTAGTGTCGTGAAATAGGTCGTGAGATGAAATCCTAGTTCATAGTATTCATTTTTCTGTGGCACCTCGACAGACATGTTTGTGTGTTACTGTAACTCACATGACCTAAGCCATTGGACTTTGCATTCATTTTTGTGGAGCTCTCGTGAAAACAGGCTTCGGTAAGTATTTTGTTCACCGAGAGTTGTTTTGTGCATGTAAACAGTACACATGCATTGTCTGGTAGAAGGAAAAAAATACTTTATGTTCAATTGAATATTAACTTGCCATCTTCCTCTCAATGAACACCATAAATTATCTTCTTTCAAAAAACTTGGAAACCGTGATTACTGTTATTAGTGATATTACTATTATGACGACTGGCATTAGTATTATTTATTGGTGAGACTGTTCTTATGGTTGCTATTACACATTGTTACTGACAGTAATAATATGTATGTACAGAAGACATGTTTTCTTATTTAGACAAAACCAAACGAAAACAAAGCAAAGCCTAATTTTGTGGTTTCCCTTTTATCCCAAATTCCTTTTACTCCAAGTCCTCATCCTCCAATATAAATCTCTTCTCCAACCGCTCGCAAGAGTATCTCAATACTTATGATGTCTTTGAAGCATTTCCATGTAAATGGGGTGATACAATATGTTTTTGAAAATAGTGTGCAAAGTTCACCGATATGTGGTCTGTAGGAATTAATCCTGCAGTGACAGGGAGCTAGACTAGCCGATCTTTTCTAAATTCTAGAGGCCAGATTTTCAACTGGTGAAGCCAACAGTTATAGTGGGGGTAACTCTAGTGTAAGTAGGAAAAGAATCAGGAAACCTAGAAATTCAAGTCCTGACTGGGCTGGAACTCTCCATAAAGAATGCAGAACTAGTGAAACGGTGATGTCTAGGGCTAGGTGAATTTTGCTTTGGGCAAATATTCACACACACATTCAGGTCTAATTTGGCAAGTAGCTTCAGCCAAAAAAAAAAAAAAAAAAGTTTTGGAATATTTTGTTTCACTGGTTCTGAAACAAAATGGTTTTGACATTTTGAAATGAAGCATTTCATTTCAGCAATTTCAACAGTGAAACATTTCGACTTCTCATTTCAAAATGGTGTTTCATATAGAAATTAAGTTAATTAAAAAGGGCGAAAGACAGCAATCCCATCTGCAATCATTTCAGGTTGAACAAAGTATTTAGATGGATACTACACAACATTTATTTTGCATTTTTCAGTTCAGCGCTGAACCAAAAAAAATAAAAATCCATTATCTGCTCAGCTGTAGGGATGTCAGAAGAGCCAAAAGAGTAAAAGTTGATCAACTGAGAGAAGAAGGGATTTGAAGTCTTTATATTTGATTTGTCTTAATTAACAACTATTTAAGTTCAGTGGCTAACATTTTAGACAAAAGAAAGTTTTGTTAAAGATTCTGTAGCCTCATCCTTTCAATTCAGGTGTTATTGTTCACAATAAAGATGTCTGAGACCTTCTAAAAAAGAAAAGGAGGACTTGTGGCACCTTAGAGACTAACAAATTTATTTGAGCATAAGCTTCCGTGAGCTACAGCTCACTTCATCAGATGCAAATAAATTGGTTAGTCTCTAAGGTGCCACAAGTCCTCCTTTTCTTTTTGCAAATACAGACTAACACGGCTGCTACTCTGAAACCTGAGACCTTCTAGCAAACCAGGAAAGATCAAACTGGACATGCATGATAGCCAAGATAAAATCTCTTCCAAAAGAGCAAAAAAGGCATGTTTTTTAAAACCCTTTTCAGCTCACCTTTAAACTTAACTCCACAGCAGTGTGGAATAATAAAACAGACTATGAAGAGAATGTGGTATCTCAGGCACATCCATGAATTCAAGTGACTGGAACCTCACTAACTACGGATATCAAAGAAGGCTCAAAAGCCTTGATCAGTTTGAAGCATCAGCCTATGTGCAACCTTGTCTCCTTGAGTCTTCAAGATAAACTGGGAGAGAAATAAGGAATGTCTATTAAAGGCAACATTCACACACACACACGATTCGATTCAGAGAAATGTTGAATAAGAAAAAAATTGGGATCTTTCTGCATTGATCTCCTGCGCTTTGGGATGGTCAATATACTTGACAGTCTTGACACCCCTTTAGTACTGATGGTGGAGGGAAGAGAAAGATCGGGTGCTTAAGTACTTCACCTCCTTCTTGTAGTTGGGTTGTGAGGTTTAATTCACACTGAATTTTGGCTTCCAGGAGAAGATAAATCTGCTCCTCCGTGGTAATCGTGTCATCAGAATCCACCTGTACAGAAAAAAAATGCATAGAAAACAGCAGTGAGAAAGGCTGTTGCTTGGATCCTTTGACACTTAGCTGTATTTTAATGGGAGTGCTCTAAACGAGTTAATTTTCAAAACCCGCATTTCTAACACTTTCAGAAGGAAATGTTTTGATTTTACAAAGGGACACACATTTTTGTTTTGAATTTCACTTTTTTTACATTTGGGGGTGGGGTAACTTTACACACTGGTTGATCTGAGACAAGTTCTCTCCCCCCCCCCCGCAAAAAAAAATTCATTTCGCCAAAAAAAATGTAAATAGTTTCATTTCAGGTTAACCCAAAACTAGTTTTTCCGCAATGCTGCAGTTCAGCTACTAAACTGAAAGGTTGGCTATTCCCACAACCCTAATTCCACCAGTTAACATTCTCATCATGCCGGCATTTTCGAAGGCACGTTCCCCTGTAGCTGTTGAGAAAAACTTCTGGCAGATTTAATGGTGCCACTAGCTGCACACTATGTATGTACATCGTCAAACCCTGACTTTCAACCTACGTACTGCCTGCTGGGATAGACAGAGGGGAGTCGGGTGAGTCTCAGTTACTCCCATGTCCCTGTGCCTGTGCTGAGGATGAGGAGGTGATGGTAGACAAAGGTGGTTTTAAGCCTTCTTTGCACTCCCTGTATTCCTCCCTGGCCCTGTTGTGTTAGAGCATCCCGAGGGTTGCTCTGATTTGTACTCTGCTTCCCATTTCCCCAGATGCATCCTGGAAAGCAGACTAGTTGTAGCATAGTGCGCTGCGGTCACACTCTCCACCCACCCCCTTTACACTGCCACTCCATCCTCTACACCAGGGCTGAGAACAGGGAACCTGGACACAAGCACTATACCAGATAGGCAGTCCCCTCTGCATAAGGGATGCTTTCAGAAGGCTGTTTCCGCACGCTTCCCGTAGGTCCGGGGAAAGGGGGAATGTGTGCATTCTGATAGAAGCATGTATAATTCATTCCAGAATAATACTGTGCCCTTCTAAATCACCTTCTGTCTGAAATGCTCAAAGCCCTTTATAAACATTAGTGAATTAAGACTTAACACATCCTGGTGAGGTAGGTGTTAAGCCCATTTTATAGAAGGGAACAATGAGGCAGTGTTAAGTGACACAACCAAAGTCAAACAGGAAGTCTGTGGCAGATCAGCCAGATCTCCTGACTTCCACGCTTGACCTGGCTAGACCACTCTCCTTCCCTCCTGTAAAGCATAATGCCCTGAATGCATGCCCCTGCATATGCAAACGTAAGGGGTACATTAGCCAAGTCTCCAGAACCCAAACTCACAGAAGTGGAGTTTCTTCAACTGAAACCAGGCAAGGGTGAGTTTTTTACCTAACCTACCGGCTCAGCCCTAGCAGATAAGTTGTCTCTTTCAAAATACCCTTATCTACAGATCTGCTATTCAGGAGAGGATATTTCATAAGCTGAGCATCTAAACATTTCCCAAAGTCATGCGCATCAAAAATAAATGTCTCTCTCAAAGTTCATATGTAATTTAGCTCGGTACAGGATTGTCCTTTTTTGTGCCAGTTTCCCAGTGGGTAAATCTTAAATTCACCTGGGTTTTCTTTTCTTGTGTCAAAAGAAAAAAAATATTAGACAAGTAAGAGCTATGGAAAGACCATACTTCATGTTCTCCCCCACTCCCTCCCACTGCTGCTTTAACCCACTCTTTATCCACATAGGATAAATCAGACCTAAATGAAAGTTAAAATGCATCTCTAATATATGGTGGTGTTAGCCCTCTGGAGCACCTGAGCACAACATATTTGCGTGGTACAGGACCAGAGATGGCTTTATGTTACTTTACCTCCCTTTACAATCCTGGGGCAAATGTAGCACCTTGTGTAAAGCGGAGCAGCTTTCCCCAGCTCCAGGGCTGCAGCTGCCAGGGAGACACCCCGCTCCTTCCCAGCCCCAGCTCGGGGGCTGCTGCGGTGCAGGAGAGAGAGCACAACCATTGCATTAGAAAGGTAAGACTACTGATATTAAAATACAAGTTGTGTGCTTTTATTTGTAGAACAAAAAACATTAATTATTATTAAGTTTTTTTTAATATAGCGCTTTTATCCAAAGCGCTTTACAATAGTTAGCTAACAGTACAAACAACATTTGGAAAGATCATTAAGTAGTCTGCTAAGACCCTCAGCAAGTTTCAAGTGGTCTGTGAAAAAAAAGTTTGAGAACAACTGATCTAAGTAATTAATGAACCTATTGACTCGTACCAGACCCAGGACTGACCCATGTGGACCCCACTAGATACACCCCTCCCAGTTTGACGGAAAGCTACTGATGATTACTACGAGTACAATCTTTCAAGCTGTTGTGCATCCACTTTATAGCAATTTAATCTAGACCATATTTCCCTAGTTTGCTTATGAGAATGTCATGTGGGACTGTGAAAAGCCACACCAAAAACCAAGTTATATCACGTTGACTGCTTCCCCACAATCCACTAGACCAGTAATCATGTCAAAAGGAGGAAATTAGGTTGGTTTGGCAGGATTTGTTCTTAACAAATCCATGCTGGCTATTACATCTAGCCCTATTATCCTCTAGGTGCTTACAAACTGATTGTTTAATAATTTGTTCCAGTACCTTTCCTTGTATCAAAGTTAGGCTGACTGGTCTATAATTCCTCTGGCCCTCTGTGTTCTCCTTTTTCAGGATAGGTACTATGTTTGTCCTTCTCCTGTCCTCTGGGACCTCCCCCATCCTCTGAGAGTTCTCAAAAATAATTGCGAACGGTTCTGAGAGTGCTTCAGCATGTTCCTTACGTACCCTAGGATGAATTTCATCAGGCCCTGCTGACTTGAATACATCAATTTATCTTATTGGGGGGAGGGATAGCTCAGTGGTTTGAGCATTGGCCTGCTAAACCCAGAGTTGAGAGTTCAATTTAGGGATGTGGAGCAAAAATTGGGGATTGGTCCTGGTTTGAGCAGGGGTTGGACTAGATAACCTCCTGAGGTCCCTTCCAACTCTGATATTCTATTCTAAATATTCTCTAACCTTTTCTTCCCTACTTTGGCTTGCATTCTTTCCCCCTCATGGTTGATATTAATTGGTCACCATTAGCCTTTTTAGGGAAGACTGAAGCAAAATAGGCACTAAACACCTCAGTTTTATTGAGGTCATCAGCTATCCTTCCTCTGTAAGTAGAGGTTCTACAATTTCTTTTGCCTTCCTCTCACTCCTATTGTATTCGAAGAACCCCATTTTATAGCTTTTTTCTGTCCTTTGCTGGGTGTCTCTCATTTTGTCCCTATAGGCAAGTGCAATACTTCTCTGCTCCTCCTTAGCAATTCATCCATGTTTCCACTTTTTGTAGGACTCCTTTTTTAATTTTCTTGTCATTAAAGACTTCCTGATGGAGTCATACTGGCCTTTCATTAGTCTTCCTATCTTTCCTTCATATCAGGATAGTTTGCAGGTAGCAGCACAGGTCTGGGTCTTGTGGGCTTAATTGGAATAACCACTATATGAGTCAACAGTGTGCCCCTGTTACCAAGAAGGCCAATGGCATTTGGGGATGTATAAGTAGGGGCATTGCCAGCAGATCATGGGATGTGATCATTCCCCTCTATTCGGCATTTGTGAGGCCTCATCTGGAGTACTGTGTCCAGTGTTGGGCCCCACACTACAAGAAGGATGTGGGAAATTTGGAAAGAGTCCAGCGGAGGGCAACAAAAATGATTAGGGGGCTGGAGCATATGACTTATGAGGAGAGGCTGAGGGAACTGGGATTGTTTAGTCTGCGGAAGAGAAGAATGAGGGGGGATTTGATAGCTGCTTTCAACTACCTCAAAGGGGGTTCCAGAGAGGATGGATCTAGACTGTTCTCAGTAGTACCAGATGACAGTACAAAGAGTTATAGTCTCAAGTTTCAGTGGGGGAAATTTAGGTTGGATATTAGGAAAAACTTTTTCACTGGGAGGGTGGTGAAGCACTGGAATGGGTTACCTAGGGAGGTGGTGGAATCTCCTTCCTTAGCGGTTTTTAAGGTCAGGCTTGACAAAGCCCTGGCTGGGATGATTTAGTTGCGGATTGGTCTTGCTTTGAGCAGGGGGTTAGACTAGATGACCTCCTGAGGTTCCTTCCAACCCTGATATTTTCTATGATGCTATGATTGTTAACAAAAAAAAAAAAAAAAAAAAAAAAAGAGGTCAGTAATAGCAAAGCTGAGTGTCTGAAAGCTCCACAGAATTTCAGATCAAAGTTTGAATAATAAATCTGTCACACTGGTGGATCAAGCCATTTACAAGGGCACTTCTGTGCTAGGTCACTGATTCAAAGGGGACTGGTGGTGATTTAAGCCCTATCCTAAGTGAAGAGGTAGCCACACAACAAAACCTCATCAACCCTAATCTGCACTAAGCAGCAAACGCTCATAGTGCTGTGAGAGAGGCCAGCCGGCTAGTCTTCCTCTCTCCCTCCAATGAGCTGCGAAGTACACCTAGGCAACCTGGGGAAGCTTGCACTACTGACAGAGGCAAGGTTTACTGCAGGTGATGTTACTGTAATGATAGCCCCTTGTGATGTTCTATGGTTCTCCTTCCAGGCTGTCCATCTGATAAGGTTCTCAATCATTCCATTGAGTTAAGGAAAAGTAAAAATTTGCTTCATTTGGTCATCACCGAATCTGTACAAGGAATTAATTATTTGAATAAGGAGTTCTGCATCCCCCAATCTGAACTTCAAATATACTTTTAAAAAAAGACAGAGTTGCAGATTGAAAAAAAAAAGACTGGAGTGAATTCCTGACTTCAGTGAAGCCAATAAGAGTTTTGCCATTCACTTCAATGGTGCCAGGATTTCACCCCAAGAATTCAGTTTCACACCAGTATAATTCAGTTCATTATGTCCATACAGTTTTAAAGTTTTCCAACCAGCCAGTTCAAACAATGTTGCATTTTACTTCTGACAGATACAACAAATTTTCATCATGACACTATCACCAGCATCTTGTTTTGA